GTGTGTATGGATTGTGATAACAGTTGTATGAGCCCCTAATAAAAATGTTTTAAAAAAAAAAAAAAAAAGCCTGTCATCAACCTTGGAGGAAGAATCATTAATAACGTGCAATATTCAGATAATACAACCTTGCTTGTTAAAAGTGGGAAATACTCAGAGCACTTATTGATGAAGGTAAAAGACTGTAATCTTCAGTACAGATTACACAGCTGCATAAAATAAGCATCCTCACAACGGGTCCAATAAGCAGCAGCATGATACAAAGGCAAACCACTGAAATGATCGAGAGTTTCCTTTTACTTGGATTAGCAATCGGTGCTCTGGAAGCAGCAGTCAAGGGATCAGATTACTTCTGGGTTGGGTAAGGATGCACGTTGAGAACCAAGGTGTACCTAACCCACGCCATGGTATTTTCAACCCCCTCATATGTATAGGAAAGTTGGATAAGGAATAAAGACGACTAATGAATTATTGATGCAATTGAATTGTAGTGTTGACAAAGAATATTGATTATGCCATGAACAGCCAAAAGAATGAACAAATCTGTCTTGGAAGATATACAGGCAGAATACTCTTTAGACGCAAAGATGGTGAGCTTTTATCTCACACACTTCAGACATGTTATTAGAACCAGCCCCGGAGAAGAGAATTCTGTTAATAAAGTAGGGGGTCAGAGGAAAATAGGAAGATTCTCATTGAGATGGACTGACGTAAGGACTGCAACGATGAGCTCTTACTGTAGCTGCCACATGTCATCTCTCTGGTCCCTAAACAAACCTTCATTTCCTTTGCCCCATACAATGGTGGTGGCGTTAGGTGCTGTCAGATTGGTTCCAACTCATAGTGACACTATGTAAAACAAAATCAAGCCCTGCCCAGTCATATGCTATCTTCACAAGCATTGTTATGTTTGAGCTCATTGTTGAAGCCAGTGTGTGTATATTATTGTACACACTTTCGTCTCAAGGGTGCAACCCAAAGACTTTTCTGGTATCTACATTGAGTTCAAAGTTCAGTGTTTCTGCATGGTGCATTGCCTTCTCCATCAGGTCTGGGATGACTCCCCATGGACACGTTACCTATCTCCCTGCCTCCTGTCCCTGCCAGCATACAGTGGTGAAGCAAAGCAGGATACCCACTCTCGTTCAGAAAGGGCAGAATGGGAGACACAGTGGTCCACCACCCACAGAAGTTCTGAAACCTTACAGTCATTCTGGTGTGAGACTCTTGGCCTTAGCTTCTCTCCAGTAGAAACTCATGTTCTCCGTGGCCCTGGCTTTGTCCTCTGGGAGAATCACTTGCTCATGACCTTTCCTGGCCTCCTCTGAAGCGGGTGTTAAGGGGGTAGAACTTCCTTGGGAGCTGTACATACTTTGAAGACTACTTGCTGTTCCTTTTAATCCAGAGTTCAGAGTCTGCATGGCTATATGTATAAGTAAAAGCAAAGAGCCCTTCTCTTTGGGATGAGTGATGGCTCATTAGAATTCTCACCGTCCACCTGGGAGACTTATTTGATTCCTGACTGTTCTTACACAGCATACACTTTTGCAGTGACTGAGTTTGATAATTCATTGCAATGGTCACACAGAACTCACAATATTCATGATTAAAGGGTTTATTATTAAAGGAAGTTAATAGGCTACAATGCAGGTGAGACATGCTGAGGATGTAATTGTTCAGTCAGGACATGTTACAACGTTATTTTAGAGCTACTAATAAATACCCAAGGGGCATGCCACTCCCCTATAAGCCTCAACCTCGAAACACTGAGTTCCAGTTTCATGGGTCAGGGATCCCAGTTCCCTGGATGAAGTGCTCACCGGCATTCCATTCCAGTAACCTGAAGTTACTCAGCTTCCTCTATGGGCCAGCAAGGCCACCTCACCCAGTTAGTGCCCAGAGGTACCTCATTCTAAAAGCCAGCATGCTGCCCCAAAGCACTGGGCTTTACTTGCTCTGTGGTCTGGGAAGTCCACCACGCTATCTCATGCTTCGGTTCCTGGTTCTGCAGCTGCTTCTCTGCCACACTCACATGTCAAAGCTGTCTTCTGGATCAGGGAGGTTCATTGCACAGGGATCTCATGGTCCAAAGGGTACACTTCACTCTTGGCTCTTACTGATAGTGAGATTTCCTCTCCTGCTTCTCAGAGGGCTTGTTTTATACCCAGCAGAATGCTAGTCACAATGAATCCTATCAGTGCCTTCCCCCGCTGTCTTACCCAGGCCCCTGTAGGACAAGACAGCTTGATGGGGGTTCTAGAGACGTCGGTTAGAAGAGCACATTAAAGAACCACTACCCCTGCACTGACCAACAGAGCTCAAGCACAGCCCTCACTTGTCTAGCAGTAGAGGCTTGTGTGTTATGTTGAGCAGGGTTTCAGTAGAGCTACCCACTAAGACTAGGAAGAAAGGCTTGAGCGGCTTTGGACAAGCTTACCAATGAAAGCCCGATGGGTCACAATGGTTTAATCTCATCATGCATGTGGCCACCATGAATTGTGACCCAGCTGAAATGACAGTATCAACAAGACCTGACACTACACTAATGCCAGTTTCCAAGAAGCTTTTTAGGTACGTGATGTGGTGTGCAACCTGCAAACCAGTCCCCTAAGATCAGGATGTGGGGGGAGAGGGGTCCCTGGAAAGGTCAGGGTGAGTTCTATAGGCACATGCACGAGACAAGAAAACACTCATGGTTTGCTCCTGCTATTCAAGGGTCTCCATTTAGAGCCAATTGGGGACAATTTGTGACCAGCGGTTTAGCCAGGTCAGGCACTTCAAAGTCTGACCTGGCTTCAGATTTGATGAGCCATCCATTCCTTTCTACCAAGTAAACGACCATTTTGACAAAGCCCAGACCCCTCTTTTCTAGATCTCAGCACTCAGCATTTATTCATTCTCTCAACCTCCACCCTCTCGTCTCCAATCATCTCATCTTTATGGAACCACGGAAAGGCTTGTCCATCTTGTCCTAGAAGTGCACTTTTCACTCCATCTTGTCCAGAGGCTGAGGACTTCTTAGAAGTCTTCGTAAAAGATGAAGTGGGGGAGGGGACAGTGGCCGAGGAGAGCCCATTGGTCTTCACTTTGAACTTTTTATCCCTCCTCAGCCAGATGAGTCCTGCTTTGCTCTGTATCAGTAGAAGAAGGGTTTCCCTACTAACAGGAACCTTGAAAACCATCGTCATTAGCTAAAGCCATCATCTGCATAGGATGGACTTGAGGTCCAGAGAGGTTAATGGATTGACCGAGTGTCACACAGGTGCTCACTGGAGGAGCTCACAGTAACTCCCAGATTTCTGTACCATTAGGCCAGTGTGCTTTGTGCCGTGACTGCCTGTTAGCTCCCTTGGGGCAGCATGTGGTCTGAAATAAAGAGTGGGAGTCAGGCTCTGCCCCTGCTGCCAGGAGCGACAGTGACCTGGGTAGGCAGCCTTCCCCCTTGCTATGTTTAGTCCCCCAGTTTCTCATTAGGCGAGACAAAAACAATCCTGGCTTCCTCTCTGAGACGGGGCTGTTATGTGCACGGCTCACTGTGCCCCCTGCTCGGGTCTTGGCACCTCTCAGGCATTTTATCAGCTCCTATTTACAGAGGCTCTGCCTGAATTCCTTCTGCCACCTACCCTCAACACACACATTGTGGGTTAATAGTTCCATTTAAAATCTCAAGTGGGACCCGACAGCGAAGTCATCGTGAAATTTGGAGCTTGCAGAATGTTGTTATTCATCAGTGTTGTGAAGGTAGAGAAGATATAGGTCAGCTTGATTCCGTGCACCTCTGTCCAAGGCCTAGAGTATTAAATATGCACAAGATGGGCTCTCCCCATGTCTCTCCCCTCCCCCCACCAATTCTAAGCACATATGTTTGTTTTTGCCCAGGACTAGAAAAAAGCAGTTGTTTTAGGTCTGCTTTGTTTTTACCAACTAGAGAAACATCTCAGTGTGGCTTGTTTAAATATGGCTTTTCATACAGCTCTGTGTGTGTGTGTGTGTGTGTGTGTGTGTGTGTGTAGGGGGAGGTGGGCAGGGGAGGTGTTGAGCGGAGGGCATGAGTAATTCCCTCATGTGCCGTAGACAGTGTCATTGCTCAGAAGAGGAGAGAGCCCCAATGTCTGGAATGCCAGTGACTCAGGACATTCTAGGACGTCTGACACTTGTTCCAGCTGCCATGTTTGATCCCAGGAAAGAGTCTCGTGCGGGTTCTAATCTGTTCTGGGGTCTCGAGTGGATGGGGCTCTCTGCAGGCCAAGGAAAGGCGTTGTAGAAGTTGAGAGTGGAGTGGTGTACCTTCTACACTCAAAACTTCTGATCACGTGCCCGTCTGATGGTCGGGCGAGAGCTGGGGCTCCTGTGCCTGCGAAGGTTCTTTGGACTGGTCTCCTTCAGTAGACATGATCCGGCAGTCTCTGCTGGCCTGGGGTTTGAGAAGTAAAACCTATTTATTTTAGAGTCAGTGACTCTTCCTCAGCTACTTAAATTTCATTTTTGATTTTTTTGCTCTCCCTTTTTTTGGTCTTTGACAGATGAACAAATAATACCTCCTTTTAATAACTTTAAAGTAGGTATCCTAATGTTCTCCAGACGGGGGTGGGGTGGGGGGGGTGGCGGGGGCGGGGTCAGAAGGACCCCATTGCCTAACAGGGAAGCATTGTGCATTTGAGTTTTTATTTGCTTAGTACTAAATCTATATTCTCTTCCTACTTTTTCTCTCAAATGTACAAAACAAAAGAGGAGGTAATTTTTAGTTTTTTCCAAAGTGCCTTCAGGGAAATCCCCTTTAAACCTATGGATTTTTAGTCCGGTGAGAAATTATCCTTCCTTTGGTCTCAATTTTGCATATCGTCTGTTTCTTACAGGGCTTCCGTATTGTCTCAGGCGCCACTGGAAATGCAGCAAGGATTCCTAGCACATCCCAGTTGCCATAGCAACAGCAGTCTTTCCCATAATGAGCTGCATCATCTGAACTGATGTCACAGCATCATGCAGCAGGTCAAACAAGGCATCTCCTAGTATTGCATCCTACAGATGTGCCGTAAACATCAAAAGAGGATGGTGGGAGAAGGAGATGGTGAGTTCTCAGTGTCCGGGCCTTAATTGCAGGGCTGTTTTGCTGGTTAATCGGTGTCTGCTAAGGCGGAGATGGGGGGAGGTTGCTTAAAATGGACTAGGGGAAGAAGGGCTGTTTTACCTAAATCTGCTTTTCAGGCCTCTGGCTTAAGACAAAGGTTTTTAGAGTCTCATAGGAATCAAAATATGCCGGATTAGTCTTGCTCCACCTATGTGTGTTATTTTTAGTGTCCTTGTTGAATTGTTCATAAACATAAGATGGTTTTCTATCGCAGAACCTCCAATGGGCTCTGAAATAAGTAGTTTGCTGTACTGAAACATTATAGAGGTATACATTTCCTTTTTTATGGGGCAGAGCTAATTGGTCCCTTATTTGTACTGGTGATTTATGAAATATTTAGCAATTTGCAGCCTGAAATTCAGTATGTATACGTTGGTTGGGTTACAGCTTCTTCATGGCAAGGGACGAATGCTGAATAAGCATTTGACCTCGCCCTGATGTGAGAAGGAATTTCTTGCATGTTCGAGAGAGAATTTACTTAAAAACATAAAGACCGGCAGCAGAGGAAATGACCTGAGCCGTATGATTTATATGTAGTCCTTCAGCCCATGCCCTTCATAGTTCGTGGAAAGACTGCCGGGACATTTTTTCCATCACTAGTTAGTCTCTAAAATAGCCGGAGTTGTTTGCTCGCTGACTTGAGAGTGCGATGGGAAGAAGCATCCTTCCTGCGGCAGTTGCTGTGAAGGTGTGACCCTGGGGAGAGCCTCTATCAGTGGCCCAGGCATCACTAGCCCTTGTTAAACTTTAACCAAAATCTGGTCTGAGGAGTATTATCAGGGTCCTCATGATGGTGGGGAATACATGTCTCAGGACTCCATCTCAACCTGAACTCAGTTCTGAAACTCCACATAATCGCATAGCCTTTCCATTTCACGGCTCGCTCTGCTTTTAGGCATCATCCTCTTCTTTTCTTCTAAAGGCATGGTCTGAGTGTGAGCGATCAGGATCTGTGTCTGGTCTTTTGTTTTGGGAAATGGAAATGGATCTCTCCGGTACAGCTGGTTGCTGTGAAAGGGGAAGACAAGAGGAGGCACATGCCAGTTCAATTGATCAATATGTCCACTTGGAATCAGGGAGTGGTCTTTTGGCTCTGTGCTGCCAAGTTGATAGTGTTTATTCGAAAAGTCTTACAGGAAAGAGTGTCACCCACATGCTGTTGTCCTTTGGGCTATTAAGAGAGATGACATGGAAGCAAGAGATGCAATACCCCTTGCTAGCTTGGAGTGATTTTTTTTTTTTTAAAACACAGGCGACATACTGGTCCCATCAGGCACTAACTGCAATGAAAGACCTTGGATGTTAATTAGTTTGTTTTTACCACATCAGACACATGCGACTCTCAGTCCTTTAAGTGTATTTGGCTGACGTGGAGCTGTAAGGGATGGGAGAGGTCAGTTCAGCCTTGCTTTATCTCAAGCACTTAGGAGCATGAATGTTCACTGCCTGCTTTTGAATGTTGTATAATGCGAGCAGAGGGCTCTGCTGGGACTGCTGGGTGTGAGCACAGCTAAGTCAGAAGCACTAAGGTGACGAGGAGGCGTGCTGGATAGGGATGGGGGAAGGGAACGTGTCTGTCTAGTGAATGAATTAGAAGTCGGGGCAGATTACTCCGGTTGTATTAGATAATTTTTTAATATAAGTATTCAATCTCCAGGAAAAGCACCTGCAAAGACTTGCTAATTAGCATGTATTGCTAGTGGTAGAAATCACCAAAGGCAGAATTTTAATGAAATTTCGATCTGCTTAATTTGTCTCTTTTGTCTGGCCATGCACTCAGCTGCTTCATCATGGGTGATTTGTACAGTTCTCAGAGGTCCCGGAAACCAGCTTCTGCAGAGTGGTGCTTGAAAAAGTGGAGTCATGCTTTGAGGTGGAGGGAGAGAGGAGCGGCTGGTGGGTGTGGGCTGACGCAGTCATCTGGTGGAAGGAACATTTGCCCAGTTCAGACGAGCCTGTGCGTTTTTTCTTTTTCCTCCCCAACTGTTCAAAGTGCACTTTGAGTCCCCAACTTTGTGCTTTTGTGCTCTCTCCCTGCTGCTGGAGGACAAAGCCCCAGTAATGGGAGCTGTCATCTCATCCGTGCTCCCTTTCTTAGCAGAGGACCACAGCCTTGCCTCTGATTAACTGAGTGTCTTAATTACTGGCTAAGCCTATTTCAGTTGCCTTAGTTTTAATATATCCCCAAAGGGTGAATGGTGTGTGTGTACGGGAGATGGGTAAAGAGATTGCTCTATGGCTGTATTTATTGGGGTCTCACGGAAACTTTCCAGAATTTCAACAATTTTGTTTGACAACAATGACTAAAGATCGTCCAGACCCAGTTTCCTGTGTGACCTAGTTAAGACCATGGCAGCGTCTCAAGAAGCAAGCCTCCTCTATATGTTTGTTTGCGATTTTCTACCCCCTTACAGAGTTACGGTCTCAGAAACCCACAGGCACAGTTCTACCCTGTCCTATAGGGTCATCACGGAATCGACTTGTTAGCCGGGAGTTTGGGAGTTACTGAAATACAAAGTCCGGGCGTGTTATTCCTTTGCAGATTAACTAGAAAATCTAGTTAATATAAAATCCAGGAATTATAAAATCTCAATGGCAAATGCCACCACTCCCACAGGACCCAAACCCTTCGCCGTAGAATTGATTCCCACTCAGAAAGAGCCAATAGGCCAGTCGAACTGCCCCACAGGGCTTCTAAGGCTGTACTCTGTGAGGAAACAGACCCCCGCAACCTTATCCTGTGGAGCGCTCGTGAATTCCAGCCAAGAACCTTTTGGTCAGCAACCAAGCACCTATCCACTGGGCCATCGGGGCTCCTTATACAGTTATCATTGATTCAGTACTTACTATCTATCAGGCATGATGAGGGAGAATACAACTTTGCCACTCAACTGGCTGCCATTGAGCTGATTCCAGCTCCTAGCAACCCTACCGGGCCGAGTAGAACCACCCAGCCGGTTTGTGAGACTCTCAGCCTTATCAGAGTAGAAAGCCGCATCTTTCTCCTGAGGAGTGACTGGTGGTTGCTAACTGCTGGTCTTGCAGTTAGCAGCCCAATGCATAATCCGCCATGCCACTGGGGCTAAATGGTACATATTCACATTTTGCAGAAACCAAGTGTTAGCCAAGTTAACCAACATGACTACGAATCTAGAGCTAAGAAGTCTTTGGCCCTCATTACAAAGCAGTGCGATCTGACTGGGAAGCCCAGATGCGACCCTCCATTGCCTTCCTTTTGTGCAATCTTGATTTTGCATCTCATAGCGACCAGTCATCTTCAGACTATCGCATGCACCCCGCCCCTCTTCATTCTCATCAGAAAATTAGATTTCCCATGTATAATGAAATCTCATGTACAGCACCAAGGCTGATTTTGGTGTAGGCACAGCATAGGTCTAGGTCAGATATTAATATTGTCTCTGGCCCTGGATATTTTAAGTACTGCAGGATTGATGCTTAGTCTCTTGCTACCACGCTTGCTTAGCATATTTTTCTCTCAGACAAATGATGGAGTTGCACTAAAAGCACAGCTTATGATTCAGATTTATTGTACCTTTCTCATCAGCCACACCTGTATTGCTCTGCTAACTTTTAGATATCTGCATTTTCTAGCAATACCAGGCAAAAAATACAAAAGAGAAAGTGCTTTCCCAGCCTGGATGATAGACTCTGAATCTATCTTCTGGATTCCAGATAGAAGATGAAGGGAAGATTTACTTTGCTAAATGTAGCTGTGGCTGAATCGGAACATTGCCTATCCTGACAAAGTATCGGGCAACATCCCGGAAGCCTCGTGTTTGAGGAGAATGGATAGAGTCATCCCTGCATCATCTTGCCCCTCACCAGCCGTATACATCTAGCGTCACTGTTGGGCTCTAAAGGCTGTTCTTTGTTTGACTGCGGGGCTAATGCATGCACTGACAGCACATTGATATTGATCCCAGTATGGTGAACACTTTGAAATATTATTCCACAGGGCTTATTAGCCTCTTTGAGTTCTGGGAAGGAATTAACCTTTGTCCAAGCCTCTTGCAAGGAAGCCTGAGCTTGGGGCTGCATGAGATACAGGGACAAAATTTCTGATGGGAAAACAATAGTGTTGCTAAGTTGGAGTGATTATGGGAGTTGGGCTCCAATTAAGGAATAAAAAGACCAGAGGGAATTTAGGGAAGTTGATGGCCTTGCTGTACGTCTCTGATTTCCTTCTATTTTCAATCCTTGAATCAGTAAAGGGTAATATATGTTGATCTGTTGGATTCTATTCAAGTCAACAAATTTGTCGAGAGCCTGCTGTGTGCCAGGAATTGTCAGGGTATCGTAACAGTAAACAAGACAGACTCAACTCCCCTCCTCTGCTTTATTCAGGGAGAGATGACAATGAAAATTGTAGTAGAATAACTTAGTTTTTCTGATACTGGAATTATATTTCTGCTTCTGTTGACTTCTGTTCTATGTGCTGATAGAAATGGATGGTTTCCATACATATGTGTAGGTGCATATCAATCTATGGTCCATGTATGAAGATAAGCCCATCACATTGTGTAGTAGCTTTGCATTTTCCTGTTTGGGCTTGGATTAGAACCTTGTGTGTGGACAAGGCTAATGTGGTTGTTTGCATTTCATGGTAGAAACTATTCTGATAAGTTTAGTGTATTTTTCGTCAAATAATGCACATGTTGTGTGGTTTTGTATACCACACAGCCTCATGCAAGTATTTTCATAAGCATTTCATCCTTTTTCTTCATGTTTAGGCTTCAATTTCTTTTTCTTCCCCTGTTCAGTAAAGTTACTGTCAAGTCTTTCTTTGGTTCCTGTGGATGCGGAGGTTTGGTTCTTAGCAGCACATCGTTGCCAGGCTGTCCTTGTGTTTTCAAAGCAGCCTGTATTCCAATTTGACTCCATCCCTGTTCTGCAAACTGCTTCCTCCAGGGCAGGGAGAC